GGAGGTTGAAGCTTTATTCTCCTATACTCAAGAGCATCATTACAATTATAGTACACACTTTGTTGATTTAACTCGAGGCACCTAAATGTAGCTTTGACCACACGATTGGAGGTTTGAATCTCCATGATGAACTTGAAAAAAAATTAAACGGCCTTAGCACCTCCATACGCTTCGCGCTTACAAAAATTCTGCACAAGAAGGATTATCATTGCAACAAAAGATGAAATACAGATAATAACAAACAGCTAACCTACAGTTTCCATCTGTAATGGTTTTACATCCTTCAACTCTGAAACAAAGAACCCTTTCAATTTCAGCATATCATTCCCTCCATAGACCAACCCAAGGCCTACGGAAGCAGAACAGTAGGGAATCAGAAGCTCTGCCGCAGCAAAATTGGACTTTCAAAATAGAAGAAAACCTTTGCTTTGCTACTTTAAATAAGTGGATGAAATCCAGAGTAAGATGTAGGTTATTAATGAAGTAGTTACTTCAAATCCTCTCAATCCTTTTATTAAAGGGGGGATCACAGATACCATCAAAAAGGTTCCCAACAGCCATGAGAATATAAAAGCTCCAGCCCTGCACCATTGAAAAACGCACATAAATCAAACCCAGTTATCTTATCAGATACCATTAAATTCTGTTCTATATGCAGTTGAAGGAAATAATAAGAGTAACCAGCCACTCAACAAAAAAATACAGTTCGTACTCCGTTAATATTTATCTTCTATCATAAAGTTCAAAAAAGAAACGAGATGAATATTCTAGACATACCCATAAAGGAATGCTCGTAATTTGCTCTTCAGACGATCGTATATAAGATATACAGTAGCTATGAGGGATATGGCAACCTGAAGGGTTGGGCCTTCTTCAGTTGGAAAGAAAATGGTGAGAACGCCAAGAACTAAAAATGCAATAGATGACTTGATTATGAACTTTGTGGATGGTGTTTGGAACCTGCTCTTTATAGCCTGCACGACTCGAGACTGATTGACTTCTCTGACCTTTTTCTTGATGTCAATTTTCGGGTTCTTTCTGTCATAAAACTTTTGCATGATAATTTTGTCATGAGCTGATTCAATAGCATCAACACTTTCTTTGTGCCCTGCATATCTATGAATAAGGAAGTTCCTGGCAGCTTGAATTTCATCCTCAGATGCCTCCCTACTTATACCGAGCCTTTTGTATGGATCCCTTACATGAATTCGAGGGAATATGGCTGCACCAGCAGAGAAAGTCGAGAAGGAAGCTCAGAGATGAACTAAGCTAATTTGTGAACAAGAATCGCGAAGGAAAGTGTGTTAATGAATAAATCAACAAGATGCTCGGGTCAAAATGGAATGCAAAGCTTGTTTAATACAGTCGTACATTATCGATATATCAATGAGCAGATTTATTAAACTTGTTACTAATTTAACGCGATGTTGCATTAAAATCGTATGTTATGATCCTACCATTGTAATTTCCCCATTTTAAGATTGATAATCCATGTTTCTGGTCCCGAGGATCAAAGTTTTTAACCTATATAGACATTGCACGCCAATAGTTTATATAAATAAATTTTCAAATTACATTTTTGTCATGAATATTTACCTTTCATATTTATTTGATCCCTGAGCTTTTAGATCCAATAATTTAACCCAAGGATTTTGTAAAATAAATCTAAGCTTCTTTGATGTGCAACAGAAAGATTTCAACCATCTAATCAGGCAATGTGTTGACAATGTCAAGTTGCACATTAGACAGAACCCAACTTTTGATGCTCCATTTCAAGCCAAGCCACACAGCTAATTATCTATACCATTTCAAAGTGGGAATAAGAACATTACCGGCAGACTCATTTGCAAAATCTCCGGAGGAAGCATCAAATGCACACTTAGTATTGCGTTGAATTTGGAGACTTCTGTGTCTAAGAGGACCCGTCCAGTAACTTCTACATTAAAAACCAAGGTAAATGAATGATGAATTGGAAAGATGACATCAGATCAGTAATGTGTATTAGTGATCCGAACCTTTTGAGATATTGCAAATCAGTACTCTCTCTAAATTTCCCATTGGGAAAAGATGAGACCAGCTCACGTGGAATCCTGGGACTAGGTCTCAGAAGACAACATTTTGAGGGTTTGCCACTCAACCCCGACAAAATCATCATATAAAATCTCTGTCCTTAATATGCTTATTCTCTGAGCTACAGAATCAGCAGCTGCAATTTTTTTAAATCAGTGTATCAAATATACCTTTAAATAAGATTAACAAACAGAATCCGTAAAGGTTGAGCAAAATAAAAAGGAAAATATCGTTCTATAACTATAACTTATAAGAATCCAACCATCAGCCATAAATTAGGATTAGCAGAGTTTAGGCACCAGTCAACAAGATATAGAATCGGTAGCTACATAGATTATTTTCCATTATTTAGCCATGGAGAAACAAGGCTATTAAAGCATATCTTGAAGCTTCCAGGCTGTTCTATTGAGCAGCAGAGGTTAAATATGTTGTATAATGAAGTTAGCCCGTGGTCCATGTTGGCTAACTAAATACCCGACCAAATTTCTTATATCAAATGCCGAGGAGCCAAACAATTCCCTCATTCATTTGGTTTGTTAGAGAGACTTAATTTCCCCAAAACACTACAGTTTGGGGAAAATAATAAGAAAAGGGATCAGACGTTTGGTTTAGTTGATTTAGTACACATAGGTGTTTTATCCCTTTCTGCAAAATAAGAAATTGACCCAACTTTATTTTCCCAATCGTCAGTAAGACACCCTCTTTCTCGGTCTCCAAAATTGTTTGAAGAAATGAAAATGCAAAGAGAGGTAAGTAGAACAAAAAAAATATCTGTTTTTATATCCTCCCTTGGTTGCCCTTTCGAAATTTTCAACCCGCAATCAAATGTTCCTAAAAAATTCGCTCCACTTTCAGGGTCAAACAAATGAGCCAGAAAATAAAGTTAAGAATCAACCAATCAAAGGAAATGCTATACAACGCTAACTAATTCTATGACTACAAAAGAGCAAGACTAATGCGAAACATGATGAAACAGTAATAAATTACAGCAGAACTTCAATTGACAAATTCTCATAGTTCAACACCCAAAACCAACCTCGAAAAAGCACACGAAACGAAATGAAACTCAAAACATAAGAAAATTTGGAAGAAGAACCTCATGGGTGAAAGCGCAGGGCGGGTCCGATGAGCCAAACCTTCAATTGGGTCGATCTCAAATGCTCTGGTTAAGGATAGGGAAGACGCTGACCTAGACCTTTTCGCGTGCGCTACTATACCCGTAAACCCTGCTTTCAGTAAAATGAGAACCCAATTATGAAAGTCTGTGACAATTAAATAAATAAATAATTAATTAATTAAAATCATATTTTAATATTACAATTTTTAGATGTGATTTTCAAAAACTTGTCGTGTTTTTGGTTTAAATAATATTTTGGTAGGTGTATCTTTTATTTATTTATTGTAAAGATTGTTTATTCTGGTCATTTTGAAGTTTATTAAATATTATTTAAAGGTTAAGGTGGTAGCAAATGATTTCGATATTTATCAGGAAAACTAAAGCAAAAATTTCTATAAAGATTGAATATATGGCCAACCAAAAAATCCTTAATCATTTTCTAAAGTAGAAATATTAAAATTTTCAATTTTAGAAAGTAAATATTACCTTAACTAGTTGATTTAAGTTCACATTATAATTTTACTCTACAATTAAGACATACATTTTGTATCAAAAAAATTAAAAAAATAGAAAAGTAAATATTACTTTAACTAGTTGATTTATGTTCACATTATAATTTTACTCTACAATTAAGACATGCATTTTGTATCAAAAAAATTAAAAAAAANAAGAATGTGTTAAGTTTTGAAAAATAAGTAAATTCAAAATTGATAATCAAGACAACCCAATTTGACTTGAACAAATGGTGAATTCAAAATTGATAATCAAGACAACAAATTTTAGTCAAATTTATAATGCAAGCTTTCAAAATCACAAATGTTATTGCTAGATGAGCAACCAGTTGGTGATTGCTAGATGAGCAACCACCTGGTTTGAACTCATTTCAAATCCATTTATTTTTTTTTTATGAACCCCAGCAACCACTCAACGAATGAAAAAAATTTAGGTATTACGAGAGCATGAATACTCTTCCATTCACTATTTGTCATGTCAACATCATATTAAGAATGATGTGAAATTCATCAACATTAAAAATTATTCATAGTCTGCTCAAAGGGAATATGGTACTACCGTAATACTGAAATTTTTTCGCTTAACTAATCCATGGTCGTTTCGACTGAAAACACTTCCCACCCTCCCAAAAAGTGATTCCGAACTACACCCTAACATCAGCCATTTTTGTCCCTTCACAGTGTTCACATAGCAACTCAGCGCACAAGAAAAGAGGGTGAGATTTTGGATAAATGATGGTCTGCTTTGTATATGTTAATGAGCTCAGCTAAGTCGTGTTTTCAAATCTTGAAGAACCACGAGTGCTGCATTACGACCAGGTGCCCCCATCACACCACCTCCAGGATGGGCGCCACTTCCACACAAGTACAGCCCTCCAACTGGACTTCTGTAGTTTGACCTGATTTTACAAGCCCCACCACAAATTTCAAAACACAAATTTCTAAATATACCCTAAATTGGACGGGTGAGTACCTTTAACATTAATTGTTCGAACTTAAATAAATGTTGCAATTCAAACTATATACTTAAATAAGTCAACTATCAAGTTGTGGCTAGCTATGAACATTTATAGTTGGATGAGACTATTTTTATAGGTACAAAATCCTTTTAATTAGTTGAATTTTGATATTTTGTAGCTAAATATTGAGCATTTTTATTTGCTCTGTTTTGTGGATGGATTAGATTTTCCTGATTGGATTTGGGTATTTCTTTACATGATCTGAGTATTTTGTTAGTTGAAAGTTGTATAATTTATTGGTTGATTCATATGTAATTTTTAAATTTAGTTTATTAATTCTAATTTGCAAGTTGAGGATTCAAATGGATGAAATTAGAGGTGGTTCAAATTGACTTACCCACCTAAGTTTAGGTAAAAATTTAAGGTTTCCCATTTCTAAATTTTTCTTCAGAAATTAGTCCCCATGATCTTATAAGAATGACTGACTGACTTACCATCCTTTAACTGGCCGCAAAAGGAAGAGCGAATCCAACCCCATGGAGCCATGAAAGATATTCCCTCCTGCAAAAGGAAATTTTGACACAATTCGAAGTTAAAACACTTTCCAGTCAACAATTGTCGAGGCCGGTGCTTCTGGAAAACTTTAGAAGCATTTTAAGTGCTCTGTGAGAAGCAATTTAAGCGCAACAAAGTACTACTCCAAGAACAAAAATTTAAAGGATTTGTTATTTTATTAGGTACTCTTTACTAAAATACTTACGAAGTAATTTTACTAAACTTTTCCACGAGGAAGAGTTGAAGACTATAGATGAATTAATCAGGAAACTACGTCAGTCCAGCTTGTTTCCAAATTACTCGATTCCTGCAGAAGTTATTTTACCTGTCAGACCAATTTCTCTTTCAAGATCAGGAGGAGTTAACATGTCATAGCCAATAATTGATGAACTGAAGCCAGGGGCGTAGTCATCTATCAAGGCAAAACATCTTTGAGCAAACGATTCCTGTTGAGAGAGAACTCAATAAGCTGGATAATATGCACCAAAATTAATGAAATTAAATAATTCACGCAAGGGCCGACGAAGGGGGGAAAACGAAAGGCGTTTTCTGGTCCCCTAAGCCAGGTGGTGCTTGTGTGTGGGGTGTGCCACGACGAAACAAGGGAATGAAAGGAAACCAAGAGAACGCTTCGCGTTTTCTTATCTTTGCCTCGCCATGTCATTAGATCCATAATGACTGGCGAGTCGGAACATCGCCCAGGGCATGATGACTTGACGTCATCCTCACCTTCTTCCAACTTATCACCGGCAGGCCTACCACTACATAAGCTGCCATCAGTTCAGGAGAGAAGCAAGCTACCTTTCTTTGATCCACCTTCCCGGGCAAGGAAGTGCGAAAAGAAGGAATGCTCAATTCCAAGTTGTTCAAGAATAGTGGCGTTGAGTTTCTCGACCCTTTGCCTTAGGATTAGTCAGTTCTATTTCTCGATGGGAATAAAGATGATTAGAAACAAGTTTCACACAAGTTAATATAATGCAAATTAAACCTACAAGCACAGAATCCAAGATATCTTCAACCAAGCTTACCCTATAAATAGGATTTCCATGGAGCCATCAAACTGGCATATATATGAATTATGGTATGTGTTGAGCGAGTAATTGGAAGAGAGATGAAAGAAAGCATAGGTACCAAAACAGGGAACTCTACAAAATATCAATGCTCACTACAGTGCAAAAAGTAAACAGCTTCAAATTCATTCTAGAATTGAACTCACCCTGTAAACAGGATCTTCCCAAGAACCATCAGAGGGTTTATATGGAGTATACTGAATAAATAAATTGATCACGTGCTTGCCTACAAGACGAAAGACTCCATCAATTCAGTCACAATATGCTGTAGATAAATTCAAACTGCTTATCACATAGATGGAAGGTCATATCCTAGTTAAGTATGCATAGCTAACAGATCACCAAATAGTAAGAATGAAATTGAGATGACTTTTGAAAGGGTGAAAGGTACCTTCAGCCATTAAAAGCATTTTCCAAAATTTTTAGTGTTTGGTTAGGTAATCATCAGAACCTTAAGAACACAACAAAAAAGGAAAGCCGTGGACGTGCTCTTGGAGAAGCACCTAATTAGTGCTTGAAAGTTGAAAGTACTCTTTTCAAACTCACTATAAATGTTACTTTACATAACAAGTTGAAGGTGCAATTAACAACCAACAGTAAATATCCCATAATACATCAACCATCTCTAATTGTACTGTACATCAACCATCTCATCTCTCAAAAAAAAAAAAAAAAAAAGTAGAGAGAGTCATAGTTCAAGGGTAGTTTGTGCAATGTTTTTTAAAAATTATTAAAAGGCACTATAGATATTTTTCTTTTCTCCAGTTTGGTCGCACCAACAATAAAAGTTAATAGAATAAGCATACGCCTTTGGAAGAATGCAGTATACAAATATATATAAATGTCTCAAGTAGAACGAACTAAATATGTTGTAAACCTGGAGGAGATATTGTCTTGTCCAGTATTGAGGGGATTGTCATCTCAATAACGGGTCTTTTAGACGGTACGCCATTCACAGCATCTTGACAAGCCGAATCAATCTCCTCCATACTAAATCAGAAACACAAGGTTTAACTACTGAAGTTGTAAGGAACTACATGCTATGTTGCATGACACTGAAAGAAAAGCATTCTATCCTGCATGGTGAAGTTGGATGCCGAATTGTTAATTACCAAAAAAACTGACCAGCAAGAAGACATTACACTGAGATAACCAACACTAGCAAATGTATTATCTAAAAACTGCTCACGTTTTAGATAGCTACATCAATCTCTCATCTTTTCAGTACAACTTAATGTCAGTGGCAAGGATAAAGAGGAAAGAAGAAATGACGTGCAACAGTTCCCTTCACAATCTGAATATTTTGCTTACACTTGCCGTCTAAGAAGAGAATTCTTTGAAGTAGTCAAATACTAATTTAATGTATCATCCTGTATTATTGGCGGTTATTTGAGCATAAACTAGAAGATTATCAGTTTCCACCACTTCCCCAAATTTAAAATAGAAGCTGATAACTAGATGACAGGCTACTCTAACATACCTTTCTGAACCAATATGAATGGTACCTACAAGCTGATGTCCCGCTTCAGTTGGACTCAACTTACAACAACGAAAATGGGGTATTCTCTCAACTGCTAAGTTAATTTTGGTAGTTGCCTGTTTTGTTGGATGACAAAAAATGCATCAAGTGAGATTGAATCAATTTTCTTGAGAAGAAGCAAAAAATTCACTTATAAGTAATAAAATGTTGGGGAAAGTGAAAAAAACCACCCATGAAAGAGGTTGGTATAATCTCAATTTCAACTTTTAATTTGAGCAACTACCCCTAAACTTAAAAAGTTGTTAACATCAAATTCTATTGTAATAATTTCATTAGTAGCAACTTGAAAAATGCAAAACGACCCATGAAACATAATGATTATTACGCAACTCCGACTCCCAGTTATCAAACAAATAATAAACAATAAATATTAATAATAAATAAAATCTAAAATCACACCTGAACTATAAGGTTATTATGATTCTACCCTCAAACTTAAAAAGTTGTTACAATTAAACCCAACTACAATCATAGCAAACAATGAAAAACCAATTTGACCAATAACATTCCTGGCAAACAATGCTCAAAAATATACAGAACTCTCAAATAGAGAAGAATCAGGGGGAAATAAAAATTTAAAAAAAAAAAAAAAGGAAAGAAAGAAAGAGATCTTACAGATCCGTAATCAGCATGTTTAATAGCACGAAGAAACTCATCAGGAAGCATATCACTAGGCATTAGTTCCTGGGTGCATAAAAGCACAAAATGCAATTGATATTCTGAAATTTGTGGTCAAATTCGACAGGCTATTACAATTTATAAAGTGCTAATGTGACCGCACCTTTTACAAGCAGAATTAAAATCTTACAAAATTTACATTGCATACCATAAACGTTTTATAAGGCGTTGCATTTGACAGAACAGTTGAAGCTTTCACATATGTCCCATCGGCTAGAAGAACCTATATAATTTCAGCGTCATCACTTTCTGATCAATACTTCAAAATCAACAGGATACAGATACTGACCCCTTCTATTCTGCCAGAGTCCTGAACCATCAATTCTGACACCTAACAAAGAAAAGAAGAACAAAAAACAAAAAACAAAACTTGTAACAGCAAGCAATTTTATAAATTATTGTGAATTATATGCATATCTGCGATTTTTATTACGAAGAGGACAACAAAAGCCAGATTAATAATTTGCTCCTTTGTTTTTTATTTTAAATAAGAAACAGAGAGATATATTTATAAGAAAGGCCACAAAAGAACATCCTAGGGGTCAGGGGTGGAGGGAACCTTGCCCAAATAACTACAAAAGAAGAGCCTAACAATAGCCAAATAATCATTTGACGACTTTAAAAATTAGCCTTCAGGGTTTTTTGCACCTGTTGGGTTAAAAACTTAAGATTCGTGGGTCTTTAAAACCATTTTAAAAAATAGAGGGAAAAAAAAAGATGTGCCTTCAACCAGGTGCTTGCTTTGCCTCGTGGCAACAGCGTGCCAACTGCCAAGGTGGCACCATGGCTGTGTTCAAAGTACAAGGGGTCCTAATGCCTCGCCCTAGGCACACCTTCAAAACACATACTCTTTTAAAGAAACCTTCAAGAGATTTCAGCTTTCTCATCAAGCGAAAACCATCCCAATTCTATTTCTGGGAGACCAGAGAATCTCCCACGAAAGAAAAGAGGCTTGAAGGAGCCGCGAGGAGCAACATATTTTCAAACCTGAACGGACTTGGATCTCACTTAACAAGATAAAAATCTAGACAAACTAGCAATGACCAGACGTAATTCCAGGACCCAAAGGTTGTTTAGCTTGGAGAACCATATCCATCCAATCCTTAGAAAGTAGGAATCTATCTAGTCTGCAGCACAACTATCCCGAATTCTTTCTTTCGCAAGGACCAAAAGATTGGATATAACGGTAAGAAGAAGGATGAGTTCGCTGAGAACATCTTTCTTCTACATATAAGAGATACTTCTTTATAAGAGATATATTTCTTGTGAAGGGCATCTGTCCCTCTTCCATCCCAAGTATTGAAAAAAGCCACATCAATCTATTTCTAAGGAGAATGTATAAGATGTGGCTTTTTTCAAATACTTCTCGTTGGGTTCAAAATTCCAATTTATTTTGTAATTATTCTTTATTTTTTGTGGCTAAATCTTGAGGCTGGTTTTATAATTGTCTTGCAAGGTATTCCCCTTCCTTCGCTCAAACCCGTCTTCTAGTAGGTCTTTCCTAGAATTTTGTTCTTTCATCTTCCTAATGAAAGTCTGTTTACTGTATATATATGGGAAAAGAAGAAGAGGAACTTCTTGCAACTGCTAATATCCATTAGTATAACCATGATTAAACTTCAAACAATGAGAAACCGAGAAAAAAAATCAGGGAAGAAGGCATGTTAACTCAGAGTTATCAATCTTTTGGTTTTGAAGTGATTATAGGCAGAACTCCTATAGAGCAAACTTTCAACATGTCTACAAAGACAAAACAAACACCGTGAGGGAAAGCATTATAGCCTCTCATCGATTTACGATTATGCAAGATTGGAGAGCTATTCTTCATTAGTTTTTGGGAGGGGAAACCCTCTTCCCCTTGCCCTTAGCTGTTATTTTGAGGCTCTACGCCTTCTGTCAATATAATGTTTCTTATCCAAAAAAAAAAAAACGTCTACAAAGACAAAACAAACACCGTGAGGGAAAGCATGATTAAAACTTCAATTCCATGGGTTTGTTGGTTTGACTAATTTCAAGTAGCTTCTTCATGTGTAAATTCAATACTTTTTGCAGTTTTTCTGGTAATATTATATGTTGCATATTGTAATTGGCAAGTTTTCTAGTAATCTCTTTTTTTGAGTTTGTAATTTTTCAATAATCATTCAATTTTGAATTTTATATAACTAGCAAAATGATATACAATAAGTATTGTATTCGGCTCAATACTTTTATTAATGAGAAGTTAATTAAAAGAACGAAGAGTAATTACTGGATTACAAAGTATCCATTGCCTCAAATTCAAATTTGAATGAAAAAGTTTGCGTGTTCAAAGAAAAAATTACAGAAAGAAAACAGAGTAATTGTACCTCAGCATTTGTGATAATATGAGCACCTGCTTCCCTTGCTGCATTAGCAATCGCCATTGATACAGAGCCCATGCCACCTTCGACATACCTGGCAGAACCTTTGATTTAAACTACATCCTAAATGAACAATATTTTCATAAATTAGAATTTAATTGCGACCTTATACTAAATCATACATCAGCCTTGACAGGGGAAAGGAGTGATCATTCATATATCAGCCTTTATGAAATTGGACGGGTCAGTTGGCCATTTGAAAAATCAATGCTTTTAAATTTTCCATAAAATGGATAGGAATGACAGGTAATTTACGGCTTTTGATATGTGGAATTTACATGTCAAACCAACAACAGAGATACGTACGACCAAATACCACGATCACCATCTGTTTCACCCATCACATGATGAAGTAGCACATATCCACTGCCTGGTGTATGCACACTGGCCTACAATACGAAATCAAGTAAGAAAGATAGATGTTAGTGATCAAATTCTTATACTGTATAGTTCACAATATTAAGCACGTCCCTCTGGTTCAATTATATAATAGCCATTGTCAGTTAATTATATAATAGCCATTAACAAACAAACTGACAAAAACATGCAAAAGTAACCGATCCTTCATATCTGCCTCTTGACAATGAAAATTTGAAACTTGAAAATGAGAGCTGACTGTTGAGAGATAAAATGTAAGAATGTTAATGATCTTGAGCTCTATAGTACATCAACTAATATGAGCAAATAGTGGTATTATATGTTCTCACTCCTGAGTGAGAAAGTTGGGAGAGTACCTCAATGTACTGGCTCTTTTCAAACTCTATGGGATTTCATAGTAGGGTATTAAATTTCAATCGCATGTTCATGAGTTCAACATCAACGTAAGAGGTGAATCGATATTTTCATCAACATACTTCTGTTTGGGGTTCGGTCACTAAGGCCTTTTGTAATTATCAATTAGGTCTTATTCTTTTGGATTGGAGCCCGTTCTTATAAGGGTTTCCTTTGCCGGGCTGTTTTTTGTATGCCATTTTTGTGTATCTTCTTTTTTCATTTCTCTCAATGAAAGTGCAGTTTCTCATCAAAAAGAAAAAAAAAAAAAAAATATATATATATATATATATATATATTTATAATGTCTAAAAGATCAACGAAATATAAAAAATATCAACAAATTATCACTAATATGGACATAATATCAAAAATAAGAATTTTTAACTCGTTTAAAAATGGAAATACTCATTTGTTAATTTAAGTATTTTCATAAATTTTTTGTATTTTTATGAATTTTCGATATCATATCAATATTTCCATCAACATTTTCATAAAATTGATATCTCGACATTTCCATTGACATTGACATTCAAAAACCTTGTTTGGTAGCAAGAAAGTTAACATAGTATTTGATATCCCAAGTAGGTGGATACTAAGGATTTAATTCATGGTGTCAAAGAGATCGAAGTCTATAGTTTACCTGTCATCCACTAGACTCGATACTAATTCATAGAGTTTAACTGAAAGTAATAGTGGTGAAGAAAATTTTGATGAGAAATGCTGTTCAAATAATCTTTTCTAAATTTAAAAAATGGGTAGTTAGTTCTTTCACGTACATAATGATTAAATTGTAAATGTTTTCCAGAAACATGAATTTGGTTGGTATAATGAAGCAAGCAATTGTTGAGGGTTTTTCTTCCATCCAATTCAAATAAGTCTATCCTACATCCTCTAAAAATAATTTCTAGCTCAAGAAAATGGCTAATAAGAGACCGAGGTTAGCAAGTAAGAACCTGAGATTCCCTTGAGGAAATGATTAATAGAATAGGAGGAGGTGAGGTTTGGGAGTTATCTCAATTGAGAATCTCTCTGAATAAGAGTTAATCGAGCAGCATAGTTCTGGCCAGAGGAAGTCATAAGAAAACCAGGAAGCAAAAAGAAAAGTAGTCATGGCTAAAAAGAAGCGAAGGAGTCCTGGAGAATGGGTGCCATGATAGTATGAGACTTCACAAGTTTAAACTAGAAGTTTTTCAATTACATTCTGATCATGTGAAATTAACAATACCAAAAACAAAAAGGTTGTTGACATATAAGAATTCTTACCACACTCCCTATGACAGCATCCGTTGCAAGTGTAGCTTTCAGAACATCTTCCTAAAAAAATTATGATGAAGGATGAGTTGAGACAACAAACAAGCAATTTAGGCATCAACTATCAAACAGAGAAAAAGTTCCTACCAAAGTGAACTTTACAGCATTATTAGATTATGAAGTGAATTAGCAAGGACTAAAAATAATTTCCAATTTCGTATATGGTCAATTGAAAAATTGGAACCAAAACGGGCAGCAACTCTGGAAAGACGAGAAAAATATATTTAAATAATCAAAATTAAGAAATGTGAAATAAGAACATAGTTTAAATTTTAACTGCAACATAGAAAATTAACCGCATAGGTGGAGCCTGGAGGGAAAGAGAGTTGATCATTCTCATATCAAATACAAATCGAACAATTAAATTTTCAATATATGAACTTTACAACTTATCCCAAAAAAATACATAGAATTTGTAAGAGCAGAGCAACCATTCAAAAATCAGATGACAACCTCAAACCAGTTGTTCAAAACCTTTGAAGCTGGAGAAAACAAAAGGTCCATGAAGTCTCTGCCAAAAAAAAAAAACATACTTAAAAATGATATTCTCAAAAAAAGACATACTTAAAATGGATCTTATTAAAAAGAAACATACATCAAAAAGGATGTTAAGGCAGCTCGTGAATTGTATTTTCAAAAAATATATATATTTTTTTAATGGGCTAAACTGCTAAATTGCAGTCTTCTTAAAGTCAAAGTTCAATAATAAATTGACAAAAGTTTCAACATTTTGCAAGAAACCAAGATTAGATCAACATGTAGAAATAAAGGATAGAGATAGAGCTCTTACACCAAGTCCTTTTGGCCCAAAGAAAGGCCACTCCGAATACATTTAGCCCAAAAAACTGAACTTTTTAACTTATCCCTCAGCCGATAATTTAAGGATGAAACACCATGCAGGGTTTCTGGCGTGGGTGAGTCCAGAAGAAGATCCATGAATTTACAGAATCTTTCTAATTGAGCCTCATATCTACACCAAAAATTCAAAACTATAAGATGTTTATACTTAATCTATTAAACGTAATCGGACTATTGACTTAACTATGTCAATAGATCCCATCTTCTTGTCAGTCAATTTTAGGTAGCATTCGAAGTTCTAAGCACATGAATTATTTGCTATCCTTAGAGGATTAAAGCAACAAAACGTTTCTTCCATTATTTTTTTCCTGGATGATGTAAGTGGTTTCGGAAGTACACTACTCTCGCTCAAATAACATAAGTACTATATTAGAACAACTTGATTTTGCATTAGCCGATTAAAATATATCTAAAATAACAAAATGAATAAGATGGAAGGATTAAGTCCAGCTTGATATGAACAAAGAAAAACACCTGGGATAAGCGTCTGCGTCTCGTTTGGAAAACTTGGAAATCTCTGAATAATTAATGTCCTTATCAGGCCCTAACAAAAGATATCGTCCATCCAAACAAGGCGTAAACGACGATGGATTCCTCTTTAAAAGCTTCAATCCGTGCCTCGCCAGCTCTAGTTCCCTGACTTCCGTAAGAGGTGGTACAAAACATAATCGATAAGTAAACTCAATTACTCGACCAAATCAAGAAAAACGAACACACGAATTAAATATGAAAGCAGTTAAACCGACTTGATGACAGATGGGCGGAGGAGACTCTGTAGGTAGCTGCATCGGGAAAATTTAAAGCCCGGGAAGAGCTCTTCGGTCACAGCGGCTCCGCCAAGAACATGGCGTCGCTCAAGTACTGCGACGGAGAGACCACCCCGAGCTAGGTACGCGGCTGCGGTGAGGCCGTTGTGGCCACCGCCGATTACCACTGCGTCCCATTTCTTATTCTTCAAGCAGGCCGTAGATCCGGCGGCGCTGCTGAAACTCCGCCGCCACATTTTTTTCGAGTGTGTGACAATGAACCGATGAATCAGTAGGTGGGAGTGAACCGAAGCTCAGGTCCGAGTTCAGGTCGTTATTGATGGGCCCACCCAGATACTGTGTGAATAATGAAAATCAACTGATACAGAATAAACCAGTGCCCTCGAATAATTTTCGATCGATGTTGGTTTGGTGCTGAAATCGTTTAACTACTTATTTAGAGACGTAACGTAACTACCCCTCTATTATTCCTGTTATAATTTTTTTATACTGGAGATAAAATTATAATTATGACCTTTAAAAATTTATTAAATGATGGTGACTAAATTCTATTTTTTTTTTTTATGAAATGATTTAATGAGATTTTTAAAACATTGAAAGTACAATGGAAGATTTTAACTCTCCTTTGCTTGAAATTTTCAACCATCGGTTTAAGAGATACTATTTCATTTGATAGAGGCGTTACATACGGAAGAATTCGAACTCATTTATAATAGTATTTGAGCAATTTTGATGGACAAGAATGCGACCAAGTTCAACAATACGTTCTTGAAATCCCTTTGCAATCGGAGACTCACGGTAGCTCTAGGAATTGTGAAACTCCTTGGTCTACCTCCAAATGACTGGATTAAAGTTAATGTGGATTTATTTTACCATTGCAATATATACTAATATGGTTAATATTAAGTTATTTGTACAAATAATTGTATAATAATCTATTTGTTTCAATTTAGTTGAACCAAGTGTAAATAGATCGTTGGATCAAGAGCCTATATAATTTAGGTTTATTAAAATACCAAAATTATTAGTTTTATAATAAGTAATTAAGCATTCTTTCTATCTTCCATATTCTCCATACATGTAATAATTCAAAATCAAACCATTAAAGTAATTAGGCAATTACCCAAAATTGAAGAACTTTATTTTACTACACTCAATCAAGTGCAGGGACAATAAATATTTAAAAAGAAAAAGAAGATTAATAAGGATTAAACGTTACCCAAATAGGAGGAGGCCAAGCAAAGAGATTGGGAGGACCGTAATCATCCAGTATGTTTCGACAACTTTTATTTGCAATGTCAAATATGCCAAAATCATGGCTACCAATGTTGTCTTGAATATGTCGTTCTGCTTGATCATCTGTGTAATAAATATGATTACCCATTAATTTAGGGCAACATCTCGACGAGATGCAAATGGAAGTATTCAACCCCAAAAATATAGTATACTCATCCAAGTTGGTAATTTGGAGCCATTCAAACCTTTTCATTCCCGAAACTAATTTGAATATGTTGAACCCAGTTGTTTTGTAGTTACAACAATTCCAATCTTGAACCTCAATGACTTCAATTGTTAAAAGTCTTTCAACCAGCAACAACTTATCATCATCCGTTTTGACCAAATACAACTTGGATTTTTCCATCAACTTAGGTCGTCTTAAACCCATACTCACCATCTTTGTTGGAGTGTCGATATGAGAGAATGTAAGTTCCCCATGAGTATCAATGACATAAATTCTCCCATCGAAAATTATACAATCTTGAAAACGTTGTAACGAAGATGCACAAATGGTTGTCCACTTTTCATCACCAAACTTGGTAAAAGACAGATTTGAAGATCTACCGTGTATGGCAACGGCTACGAAATCATTCGACGAAGGTGAACAATGCGAGAAGATGATTTTATCCAAATAAACAACATGAACAAGAACTTGGCTCAAGGTAAAATTGTTGATGGTTGGATGGACAATTGAATACTCATACTCTCCAATGTCAGGAAAAGAAGAGATTGGAGGGAGAATGATTTGGGACTTGGTAAGAGGATTGAGGAGTTTCAAATTGAGCCCATTCTCCAAAATCACTAACCAGCCATTAGACGAGCCACAACAAAATTGGTCCCTAGATTCAGACGAACTCAAGTAAAAAAATTCGTGGTTTAAAGGGTTGTAGAAGCCTCGAAGATTTTGGTGATTGGGGTGATAGTGAGGAAGCATTAGCCATGGAAGATGTGAACATAAATGTTGGGGCCATTTGGACAAATTATTTCTCCATAAACTACAAACGGTTCGAAATCGAACATAATCGATATATGTACTTAAATAACCTCCAATTACTACCGCTAGTTCTATAGGAAGATCGTTCCAATTAGCCATATGAGATTTGATTGAGGTTGTTTTGGTAGAAAGAAAAATGTTGAGATTTATGGATTTATGGTGTTGGTAGTACAGAAGACAAACTCATTGGCATATTTATTAAGAACATAATGGATGATACTCTTATCATTGGGAATGGTAATTGAAATAAAATTTAGGTTAGAATAGGTTTCCTAATCCATGTGGCTCTAAGATAAGTTTTTAAACATTTAAAGTTTTTTTTTTTTAACTTTAAAAATCAGTCGGAATTATCTTGAAAACTAATTTGAAAATAAGAAGAATTTCTGTCGAGTCACCCATTTTTTCTACTTTTCTTTTTCTTTTTTTTTGGCCTTTTTTGCCTTTTTCCTTTTTCCTTTACCCTAACTCATTTTTTACTTTTTACTTTTGTCGTTTTTTACTTTTTACTTTCTTGTTTTTTTACTTTTTACTTCTTTTTCAATTTCTATTATTAAATCTACTTTTCTTTTTAATATTAAAATCTACACTATTTTCAAACATGGATCCAATTTTCTAATCAACTTCAACATATTTTTAATCCACTCAAATCATTTTTATTTTATCTTTTACCTACTTTACTTTTCAAATTTAAATCTATACAATTTTCAAACATATTTCTAAATAATCTTCTCTCCATCAAATTTACACAATTTCTAAACACATTTTTAATTCACCAAATTATTTTTATTTTATTTTTTACCTACTTTTCTTTTTAAATTTAAATCTACCCAAACATATTTCTAAATCTATCATCCATCTCACTTCCCAATCAAATTTACACAACTTCCAAACACATTTCTAATTTATTCAAATTATTTTTATTTTTTTTTTTTACCTACTTTCTTTTCAAATTTAAATCTACGCAATTTCTAACATAATTGTAAATCAATCATCCATCTTAACTTTCCAATCAAATTTTCACAACTTTCAAACATATTCCTAATTCACTCAAAATATTTTTAAAATTTTATTTTTTAGCTACTTTTCTTTTCAAATTTAAATCTACACAATTTTCTAACATATTTCTAAATCAATCATTCATTTAACTTTCCAAACACATTTCTAATTCACTCAAATTATTTTTATTTTATTTTTTTACCTACTTTTCTTTTCAAATTTAAATTTACACAATTTTCTCACATATTTCTAAATAAATCATCCATCCAACTTTCCAATCAAATTTACACAACTTCCAAACACATTTCTAATTCACTCAAATTATTTTTATTATATTTTTTTTACCTACTTTTCTTTTCAAATTTACATCTACACAATTTTTTCACATATTTCTAAATCAATCATCCATTAAATTTTCCAATCAAATTTACACAACTCCCAGACATATTTCTAATTCACTTTAATTATTTTTATTTTTTAAATATATTTTACATTTGTTATTATTTTTACCAACTATAAATACCCCTACTTTTGAATTACTCTGCACCACTCACTCCAACTCAAATTTTCAATCCTCTCTTTTATTCTCGTGCTCTGCTTTATTATTTCTCTCATAGATTTTCAATACTCTCCTTTTCTTTCTTACTATTCTTCCAAACTCACTCAATCACACTTTAATCTCAAAATTCAAGGTTGGTAATTATCCTATCTTTCTTAGTTTCTTAAGTTGAAATATTTTTATCTATCTCTAATAGTATATTACTTGTTTCATTAATTAAAGTTGAAAGCGTGTTACCTATCTTATTAGAGTTACATTATTCCCGTATAAGTTATTTCATTAACTAAAATTAAAACCTTGTTACCTATCTTATTAGAGTTACATTGTTCCCGTATAAGTTATTTCATTAACTAAACTTAAAAGCTTGTTACCTATTTTATTAGAGTTGCATTGTTATTTTTAGTTAGTTCAAGTTTTTAGTCACACTGTATTAGTGGTTAATTTACGAGTTTTATATTTCAATCTGCTATTTAGAGGAGTTTTTTCTTCTTTTTGTTTTTTAACTTACTGATATAATGAAAATACCACTCATTTTTTCTCCCTAATTCACGTCTAAAATATCTCTATTAGGTTTTAACTATTAATTTTATTATATTAGTAATTTATAGTTTGTGTTAAGAGTTTACTATGGATGTATTTAACTATTTCAAATGTTAAATAATTTTTTGTAAGTTTAAATAGTGATTTATCTATTATACTAGACATAATTTTATATTAAAATTATTTTTGTTGATATTTGTGTTTTTCTTTTGTTTCAATTATAGATGGGAGGGGGACGTGCAAGCTCTGTTTGGACTTTTTGTCGTCCAATTGAGGAGAACCAATATGGAACTATATGCAACTTTTGCAATGTGGTGATTAAAAGGGGTGAGATCACTAGATTCAAACATCATGGTAAGGACAAAAAAAAAAAATACCAGACCATGTCCTAATGTGCCACCTGAAATTAGACAACAAATGCTAGCTAGTTTTAAAGCAAAGGAAACAAAAAAGATGAAAGAAATACNGATGAAAGAAATACGAGATGGGCTACAAGATAACTTGAAAGGTCATCAAAATTAAGATAATTCTGAGTCAGATGTTGAGATGTACCTAGAAGAACTGACCCCCACAGAAAGAAAACATTTTCGTGAAGTCATGCGTACTTCAAGAAATACTGCACAAGTGGAGTAAGAGCTTCGTGGGGGTGGATTTGAGCAGGGTCAAGGCTCAAGTCAATTCAAAAAGTCGAGTAGTATGCGTGAGCCTTCATACTACAAGTCAGTAGGTTCTCGACAGAAGAGAATAAAAAATATGTTCACCAAAGAGGGACCTAAACATACATTGGGTGGTCTTATCTCGCGTTTTTTCATTTATGATAATGTCCCAGCCAACAAAGCAAAATCTCATCATTTCAAAAATATGATAGTTGTAGCACAACAAACTGGTAAGTCTATTAACTTATGTTGATCAAATTTTTTAATACTACTGTACTTGCATAGACCTTGAAATACTTTAATATTTTGTAGGTATGAGAATTGATACGCCGATGTCATATGAAATTCATACAAAATATTTAGATCGTGAGTTTGAGGAGATGAAGGAATATGTCAATAAACAAAAATCAAAGTGGGGAACTTACGGATGCACTATCATGTGTGATGGATAGATTGGACCAACGAAATTATCTATCATTAATTTCATGGTATACTGTAAAAAGGTACCACTGTTTACTTAAAGTCAGTTGATGCTTCTAATCAGGTTAAAGACCATAAGACATTATCTGTCAGATCAGAGGTAGAGGTTGGGTCAATAAGGTAATTCAGAACCGATGGGATAAGACACTATCTTACCCTCTTCATGCTGCTGATAATTTTTCATTCTAATTATAACTCATTGGTATCTATCTGTATTAGAGTGTTGAATTTGAATAATTTGGCTCTACTATATTATCCAAACATGGTTCTATCTAGGTTAAGATATTTAAGCTGACCGTAAGGGAACAACTCTACTTGGAAAGCCATATGAAAAATGAGTTAGTCAAATAAATTGACCATAATTAACTTTCATCAATGATAATTTTGTTCAAGTTAAGATATTTAAGCTGATCATAAAAGAATACCCCTACTTGGGAACTATGTTGAAAGGAGTTAAAGTCAATTCTATTAGTTTAACGTAAATATATATATATTTTTAATGAGCATACATACTTTAGTATCGAATACTAAGTTACTAACCAAATCATATTCATAGCTCATTTTTTGAATCCAAAACATCAATATGGTATGAATATTGGTGAGGATGCTATTTTACTTCAGGCTGGACACCAAGTTTATAATAAATTATTTCCAACATGTCTTAATTTTGGGGATTCTGGAATCAGAGGTAATTATAAAACCAATTTTATTATATTTATTTTTTGTTATATGAATTTACGTAATATGTTAATTTTGAATGTAGCTCATATATTTTAGAGATAAAAAAAGAGTTTTGGTAATTGAGCTGCTATTGGATGAAGGAAAAAAATGGTAGCATGTAAGTAGAATTAAAAACTATTGTAATTTTAAATTATTTCTAATTCTAACATATATGGTATAGTTTTTTTCTATTATTATTTTTAACTATTGTTGATTTTGTTTTTACGGGGACTGGTGGAGCATGTATGGTACTAGTGCGCCTACCATATGTAAGTTAGYCATGCGAGTTTTGTCTCAAATAGCTTCATCATCTGCATGTGAGCGAAATTGGAGTACGTTTGCTTTAGTGCTCACAAAGCAACGTAATCGGCTAGCCTACGAGAAACTACATAAACTTGTTTACTACTACTACAACATGAAATTAAAGATTAGAGACATGAAGGCTGATAATGAAAGAGTAGTAGAAACAAACTATCTTGACTTTGTGGAAGTTAGAGCGGACCCCAATGATGATAGTGATGACCCATTTTTTCAATGGGTTCGACCATCACATCTTGATGATGAATTAGGCAATCTGGATCCTACAGTCTCAGACATGGCTGCAAATGTTGGTATCAATGTATAACAAATAATTCGTGAAGAGGTAGGTGTACATAACGAATATAACTTTTATGTGGAGCGTGATTTGAATATATGTAAGGAAGCATGCTACGATATACAAGAGTTACAAGTTATTCGACAAATACTTCGTCGACCATATATTAGGAAGCGCAAAATTGCAAAGAATAGCAATGATGAGAATGACAGTACTGATGATGGAAATGATGATGACACAACATGTGGTGGAGGAGGGGACAAAAATGCTTACAACCAGACCGAAGAAGGACATTCAAATAATCCAGGAATAAGTCATTTTTTATGTGAGGTTGGATTCGATAATGTCACCCAAGACGAGGACCACGGATCTCGAGAGGGTGGTGATGAAATTGGTGCTATTGGTAACTCATTCTATAGAAATCGAGACATTATGATGAGAATTCATTAATATCGAGTATGAGAGCTATGAGCAGCACAACACAAAATAATTATGGTCGGGGAAGTTCTTATATAGTTCATTAGATCATACAAGGTCATCTTTTTTGTATTAAAAAAGTTACATGTTCTACTTTCTGTATCACCACTACTTGGGTATAATAATTTTAATTTTCAAGGCTTTTATGATTACTAGTGTATTACCACGTGCCATGCACGTAAATTTTTTTTTAATTATAAGGTAACTTAAATTTTATATAATTTCATGTAAAATATTTTAAGTATAATTATTTTTAAAAATAATTAAGATTAATTTTTATATATATTTATTATTATTGACAGCTAATTACTAATAATAAAATGTACTATTTATAATTATTTTTTAAATATACTATTTATAATTAATTGTTAATGATATATTTTGTAAATAAATAAATTAAAAGTAAAGGAAAAAATTATATATTAATAAAAAAGTAAATAGGTATTTTAATATTTTTATTTTTAAATTATTTCAACATAGGTCCTTTATTTTATTTTTTTAATATTTTATTTGTTTATTAGATATTTGTTTAGAGTTGTTGAATTTTTTAATTAAATATAAATTATTTTGTTGATTTAATTTTATATTATAATTAAAATTATTAAAGAAAAATTCTTCAAATTATATTATTAGAAAATAAAATGACCAAAAGTTTTATATTCCACCTTTTAAGATTCTATACAAATTATTGTTTATAATTAATTTATTAATTAAACATTTTTTTATGTATTGACTTCTGTGATTGTTTTTTTTTTCAACAATAAAAACATGAGATTGTAATTATCTATATTTTAAACAAATATTCTAAATAAAATTGCTCAAAAAAGAAACAGTCCAAATAAAAAAAGTACACTAAACAATAAAAAAAAACATTAGTAACAAAAAGAAAAATCAAAATCCTAAACTAAATAAAATTGCTAAAAAAAGAAACATTCCAAATAAAAAACACACTAATTAGAAAAATAACAATAGTAACAAAAAAAAAAATCCAAATACTTACTATACACTCATCTTTTAGAGTAAATATGCTCATTCTTGAAGATTGCTTGACATATACTATTATTCAACTTTGTAAAATTGTGGAATGGTAATGTCACAAACCTAGTATTCGAGATATGTAGATTCAACATATGTCTCCTTTGCAACTTAATGAATATGTCACAAATATCTCGAGATGTTTTCATGATTGAATTATCTTTGAGAGATGTTTGAAGGAACTAAGAATAAAAAAGTATTGAAACTTGTGAAAAACATGTAGAAGAAAACCTATTTTTATAGTAGTAGAAGATAAAACGTTACAAAAGCTTTTCAAATTCTAAAACTCTTAAAATTCTAGTATGAATTTTAATTAAAGAATAAATTAATTTTAGGTTGTTGGAAAGCTTTTTGCATTCTAACCTTTTATATTCCATGCATTTATAGTATGGATAATTAATAGTTAATAATTAATTTAATATTTGTAATAATATATTAATGGTATAATTTGTAATTTGTAAATTTAGTAAAGGGCAAAAGTGTCCAAAAATGTTTTTCCTACCTCTTACCTTTTTAATATAGTATAGATTACATCCTTTTATTTATATATATTTAACGTATTTTGTTCAATTATGTAACTAAAGACTAGATTGGATTATAAATTATCAACAAAATATAATCAAGCAACTTTAAACCTTAAATTACTGATTCAAATAATTTCTAGGTATGGTTTTGTTTCGAAATTTTCATTGTATATTACTTATATATTTAGATATGATGATAAAAAAATGATCAAATAGACTAATTAAGTTATAATTAAAATATTATTTACTAATTAAAAAATTACACGAATACTCACAATTTCTGTAATTACTTATTCTAAATATCTATCAATATCAACGTGTAGTTCATATGCATGTCCATAATATCGTGASCTCTCCTTGGACAACCACATTTCTCCTTGACACCAATACCAATACTTGTTTCAGAGGCGGAAAAAAAGAGAAAAGACCAACACAGAATACAGATACAGAATACAGATACAGATACGCTTTTATTGTAGAAAACGGAGAGAATATCCGTATTTAATTCCATAAATCCATAGAACGAATGGATAACGACCATAGCGACTGTAAGTAAGATGGATTTGAGGCGAATTTTAATTCCGCGACATAGAAATTAAATCAAGCAATTTCGATCTTCTTCTTCGAGATTCGGGAAACAGAAGAATGTCGATTTCTTCCATGAAAATCGCCCTCCCCACTCAGTATTCTCCGTGCTTTCGTCGAGTTAACCGGTAAGTTCCTTTTTCGGCGTGGATTCTTTTGTAATCGCTTTTTGGCGAGAAAGTTCATTTGAATATCCTTGAGGAATCTCTTTCAAAACTGTGAGCGTTCAGGCACAAATATAAGGGAGTTGCTGCTGCAAGTCTGAGAGGAGATTTTGCTACTTTGGGGATGAATGTTACTGAAGGTGAAGGAAATTTACCCAAAGTTGTGCTCACTTCTACGAGTGGTAGGTGAGGATTTTCGATCTTCACCTCAATTTCAGAACGGTTTTTGATTTCTACTTTTCTAATTGTTTGACATTTTGCAAATTAAAACTTCATATTGCATTGTGGTGCTTAGGAATGAAGTTGTGAAGCGTACATAACATTTGATCGATTTTCAGAATGCAGTTGTGAAACGTACATGACATTTTATCGATTTTCAGTGAGGCTGATGTATACTTGTTCGGAGGATGCATTACATCTTGGAAACTCGCAAATGGCAAGGATCTCCTATTTGTTCGCCCAGATGCTGTTTTTAACAAGAAAAAACCAATCAGGTTTCTTACTGCCTGATTTTCATTCTTTTTCGTTTTCTCATTTTCTTAATGTATCGGTAGAATGTTCGTCATCCGACTTTCCTCTTCCATTACGAATTGAAACTTTGAAACTGTAATATTTCTCCACATGTTCCGATTTCAATGTCTAATAGTTGAGTCCAGTATTCCTAGAAAATTAAATCAGATTTGCTTTGTATACTCTACTAATGATGAGAGAAAAAATGCGCAATGGAGGGAAATTGACGAATCCCACATGATTGGATCAAAAGATTGACAAGAGGTTGAATCTGTTTGTAGCATTTATTTAAGACCGAGATTCCTGTTTAATTAATAGCATAAGGCCTAAATTACTTGAAAAAGATATGTCTGTTGAAATACTGACAACGTTCCTCTTATGATAGTGGAGGCATTCCACATTGTTTCCCACAATTTGGACCTGGCCCTATACAGCAGGTATCACGATTCACTTCATGTATGTTTTTATTACTGCGAGTAGTGCTTTTAGTCTCTTTGGGGCCTATTGAATTAATCATTCTAGTAAAACGAGCTATTGGCTCTATAGTTACCAGTGTGAGAATATGTTAGTTATCTCTGCTCAATCTAAATGTTTCCTTTTCAAAAAAAAAAATCTCATCATTGCATGGTTTTCTAAAATCATGTCGTTAAGTTATGTTTATTCTTTCAATTCTCTAGCTGAAAACGCACAGCGTGGATATTAATTATTAAGAAATGTGAAATTTCTTTTTTTAACTCCTACTGACCTTTTATTCTATTTTATTTTGTACTTTTTATCATGTTCATTAAGTTAATGTGACTTGGAGATGATTATGACTGTGATACTTGACAGCATGGATTTGCAAGGAATGTGGACTGGTCCATCCTTGATTCCGAAAGCGTTGAAGGCAATCCTGGTGTGACTCTTGAACTGAAGGATGATGCATATAGTCGTTCAATGTGGGATTTCAGTTTTCAAGCTACGTACAAGGTTAGTTGCTACTTGCTCTACCAAAAACATAAACGACATTTTAACTTGTAAAAACTTTGAATGGGCCTATTAGAAATGATTAGGTTGCTTGTTTGTGCTTGGGTTTTACTTTTTTGTTCTGAGAATCTCTGCCTCGTGGATTACAAAATGTAACTCGGACTCTCTGTGATCAGCAGTTGTTTTAATAATTATTTTCAATTGTTTGCAGATTATTCTTACTGAGAAGAGCCTTTCAACAGAGCTAATAATTAAGAATACTGACAAGAAGCCATTTTCATTTACTACAGCGTTGCATACGTACTTCCGTGTGAGAGCACAAAAACTCATTTGAGTTGTATTCTCAATATAAATCTTATCATTGATATGTATGGTTCAATCCTTCTATTGTCACACAGGCCTCTATAACTGGAGTAGAAGTTGAGGGATTGAAGGGTTGTAAAACATTGAACAAAGATCCAGATCCCACCAATCCATTGGAGGGTGTGGAAGAAAGGTTTAAGTAGTCCTTTTAAATAGCTACTGTATTAAATTGCATATAGATTCTCTTGTTCGTTTACTAGCTAGATTCCTCTGGAGCTGTTCCTTGTAGTTGTTACTTGGTGCTAAGCAATTTCTGCTTTGCTTTCATGAGTGACAACTGTGGTCCGAGAGATTTCATTTATGTCTTGAAATTAATTGGAATTATCTTCACTCGGAACTTGATCTTTCAAGAAATGGAAATAATCAATTTTAATTATCCATGATGTCTTAACTCCTACCTGAGTTCTTTAACCAAATATTTTGATAGAACAATTAGGAGAGAGATTATCTACCAATGCATTGATTAAAAGAAGGAAAAAAGAAAGTACGAAGGTTTTCAGACATCATCAGCCTGACTATTGCCGGTGACTTCACTCCCCATATGCATACATAGTCTGTATAATAGAATGACTAAAGTGCCCTCAGACCACAACTTCCATATTACAAAATATCCTCTCCCGAGTCCTGACACATACCAACTCCTTCCACCCTTACTCAATTTTCCTCATGTTCTCTTCTTAGAATTCGTGAAACGAATGGGGTACCTCATATTGTTTAGTCAAAATGTATGTAAGCGGGTCTCGACACTTGAAAGTTATTAAATAGGAAAGGTTTGTTACAATTTTCTTACCGGAATTTTTAACCATGCAGGGACGTCGTCAGTTTTCCTGGATTTGTTGATTGTGTTTATCTTGATGCACCTGGAGAGTTGAGTTTGGATAATGGCTTGGGTGATACCATACTCATCAAAAACACAAAGTGAGTAGGATTTATTGATGCTTCGGTTGGTATGTGTTTGCAGGGACGTCGTCAGTTTTCTTTGTTTGTATATAACTTATGATTCTGTTTTTCATTTTCAATGCAGTTGGTCAGATGCTGTGCTATGGAACCCACATTTGCAGATGGAAGCATGCTACAGGGATTTCGTTTGTGTTGAAAATGCCAAGGTAACTTGATATTTGGGAAAAGTCTCTTTAAGTATTACCTGAATTTATGTTTAATGGTGCTTCAAACATGAACCTTATGAAAGATATTTGCACTACTTAGTTTAAATCTAGGTTTAATTTGGTTAAATAAAAAATTTAGAGTAAAAATTGACTGACCAAAAACAAAAATTTTCCAAGGATAATCTCTATCTCCCTTGAGAACCAAAGAAGAATGAGCTCTACCTTTGATGAAGAAAGAGCTTACCTTTATAGTGGAGGCTCCGCCTTCTACCAAACAGGGCCGATACTTTTCTTCACAATATTTTTATCCTCAATAATTTTGTTTTTATTGCTTTTAAACTTTTTATCTTAAAAAATCAACTGTGTTATATTACTGAATTATTTTTCAAAAGCTATCTCATTAAAAATTCCAGCACACTCTCCCACATCGTTAAACAACCACAAAACTCAAAAGCAACACTTAATTAAACTCTTTTTTCCCCTCTTTTCTGGGGAGCCACACAGATCAGAAAGGTTGAGCTAGAGCCTGATCAGTCTTGGACAGCGTTGCAGCATCTTAGAATTGCTTGAATCCTGGTTGAGAGTAAGACCAAGCGCCCTGATATTTAGATTCCTTCGTTATCACCATATATTTTGATTCAAGATCTGGAAAGCTTGGGGCACTGAAATACTTTTTTTTAGGATACTGTGCTCAGAAAAACCACATGGCTAAATCCATTTGAACAATATAATTATATAATAAAAGTACTTTTATGAAAGCTTTTTCTGATGAATGATAAATTTATAATTACATTTATTTAAGGAGATGTTTCATGTTTGTGTTGTAATTTTAATCAGTTCAAGTTTGTATATATAGAATTGAGAAGCTTGGATTTGTGGAGCTGTGTTTGGATTGGGAGAGGAATGAATTATCGGAATTTGGGTCTTTTGTTGGTTTGTAGCTTGAGTTTGTGTAATTTGTATGATTATAAGACACATATTTAGGGATCAAACAAAGCCACCTATTAAATATGGGTTTACTTTGTAGCAAGATACCATATAAACTTACCAATGAGCCAAATGCCCATAGAGAGAACGAAAACGCTTACTTGTAACAGATAGGAAATAGAATAAACTTTTATAACAATTCAATCGAGAGAAGAAAGAAAAAAAGACCACAGGATACTGACACAAGGAAGGTTACAATCAAACAACATGAAATGAGTTTTTTCCATCATTTCTTGTCTTGTGGAAAATTATTTAATTTGATCAACTGTTTAGGATATTTATTTGAAAATGATCTAATTTGTTTCTAGTTTGTGTAGTTTGTTTAAGGAGTTTTTATTTGTTGCTTTTTGTTTTTCGTTTCTTGTTTATCTTTTTTTAGTAAATAAAAATAGTTTATTATTTCTTGTTTATTGAAAAGATAAAGGTAAACAAGTTTGATAACCATTTTTTTTATTTTCGTTTTCTAAACTTTTGAAATAAAAAGTAAAGTTTTTAAATTAAATTAAATTTTAAATTAAATATTCACATTTTTATTATATATTTAATATTTAATATACATTTTATGTCAATAATAGTTTAAAAAAGTTGAAATTATGAATAAGAAATTTGATTTTGTTGTTTCTACGTAATTTAACAATAGTTTTAAAAAATGGGAAAAAGAAACATAAAAAAGTAATTAAACATTTATGTTTCTAAAAATATTGAAAATGAGAACACTACCAAATAAGCCTTAATTTATCTATCTCGACTTTATAATGATGCTGGCAAAGGTCGTCAGAGGAAGAAAAGAGGGAACGAAGAATAAGCTCAATGTCATTCTATTTATTGGTCAAGTAATTGTCAAATGATTCTTATAGATCGTTTAGGAGTAAAAGTGTAACTTTTGAAACTTCATGAACTTCAGAGCAGAAAGTGCCTTTACCCTTTGTTTACAAGTATTTTTTTAAGCTACTAGGCTCTCTATCATTTTTAATGATGCTTAAGGTATTTTTTTAAAGAGAAAAAATTCCACGATGTATGATTAGGTGTATGTTGCATATAATGTGTTGGAAAGATGAGGATTATATCGTACTATATGTTTAATGATTCGCTATGTTTGTTAAGAGATTTGGTTTTGGATGGCAGATCCAAAGGTAAACAAGACAACATATATCGAGCATGGGCATGTAAGGTTATTTTGGCACATGTATGTTTTCTATTCAAGTTGAGAAGGAGAAAATTTCTAATACCGTGAGAGCATTAGAAATTTTATGGTAAGTAATGTCAACGTCATTTAAGAATGATACGAGATCCATTAATATTATTATTATTTTTTTTTTTTTAGTACAACATGTAGGGCGTGCATCGAAACAACCTATTTACGAGAGATATATACTAATTATCGTTGAGCTATGCTCGATTTGACAATATTAAAAATTTATTTATAATGAGACAATGATAATGTGAATAAATAGACTACACATGCTCATATTACAATAAATTTTCCTTTATTAAATGCTCACATATTACATTGTTGCTTGATTGCCGAAGCTGTTTTGACCAACACAAGCACAACAATAATGTTGCTAGCCTTCTTTCTCTCTTCTAGGTTCTTCGAATTTGACAATAAATAACACCATCTACGTTATCTATAAAAATACGGATCAATTATTTTAAAATATAATAATAATATTCTAGATTCAAAAATATAGTAAAAAGGAAAAAAATGTAGAATAATTTTGAAACTAACAATAGTTTATCTGTTTCATGATATGTCAGTGTTACACATCTATTAGTGAATATGACGTTTTCACTGATAGATATTAATAAACGTCTATTATTGATTAATTGATAGACGTCTATTGGTCTATCAACTAATGTTAGACATCTAGTAGTGAAGATGTTTGATATTGATATATATGAGTGTAAAATTTGAATTACATAAAAATATCTCAACGATTACACCAAATTTTTAAAAATGGTTATCACAATCATGTGACCATATATATTTACAATATAGCAACATCTACTGTCATTCCTTAAATTTTACCCAAAAACATTTATAAAATTCTAAATGTCAAAACTTCTCAAAGTTTGCCAAAATTTCAAACTCATTTTTAGAAAGTAATAATTAAACGAAGAAAATCATTAATAAGGAAGTTTTTTTTTTCACTAACAACGTGCGAGCTCGCACCTGCGTTAATTTCTATAAAGGAAACCAAATACAAAATATACAATACTTTTTTTAGGGAAAATAAATTAAGTACTCAAATTATAATTGGAGTACATTCTGATTTTGGTACCTTTCTATAATCAGCCACGTCTCGCTCCATCGTCTTCGCCAAGTTCCCTCGGATTTTCCACTATATGGGAGGGGGCGCAGAAGAACTGGTTCCAAAAATACTTGTACTTGCGAAGAAGCCGTCATTTTCTTGGTGGCCCCTTCAAGTAAAAAAATCTTCAGAAGAACTGAAAGGTATAAATCTGAAGGAGCATTGGCCAGAAGTTCGCCACAACTCGCAAATGCACGCCAGCCACAGATAGTACAGGTTCTATAATTTCTCAAATGCCGTGTGTTCTCTAGCATCTGCAACATTGTAGTAGATTCTATTATTTTCCCCTCTCGATGATTTCCTCGCCCGGCGGCATTTCGCCGTCGCTCAAGACAGAGCTTTATAACCCTACTGCTAATCGGGGTTCTGTCCCCGTGAGGACAACATTTCAACACAGTAAGAGCTTATTGGGTACTTTTTTGTTTTCTTTTTCTCTGCGTTTCTATTTGTGGAAACTTTTATGCTGAATTTTTTGAGTTGGGGTTTGTGCTTGGAGGAAGCAAATGTGTAATGAATAGGAGAAGTTTTGCTTTTAGGGGAATTGTGGCTTCTGGAGTTTCAGTCATGGGCTCTTCTGCGGTTATCCAACCTGCTGAAGGTCATAGTTTATTTGACCATTCTTGGTTCTTCGTATTTGATCTCTTTTGTTGGTTTTGTAAGTAAAGGAATTGAAAAATTGCCTCCTACGTGTTGGCTTATTAAATGCAGATTTGCTAAGTTTTGGTTTTTGAATTTTGTAGGGATGGAAAGATTACCTTTCAAACCAGAGGGGTATAACTTCTGGACATGGCGGGGTCACAAAATACATTATGTTGTTCAAGGAGAAGGCCCTGCAATAGTTCTTATTCATGGTTTTGGTGCTTCTGTGTTTCATTGGAGGTCCGACTTATTTGCCTTTTTCTGTCTGCATTTTGTCATTGTACTTTAATGAATAAGCTGTAACAAGACAAGACTAAGTTTATCTTTAACCTAATAGCTTAATTTCAAGTTCCATACCATTTTGTTTCCATTTCATATTATAATCAACGTATGGGGGCTTTGAAGTAAAATTAATATTCGAGGTCGTGCTGAATTATTGTATTGAAAAATGAAATGAACCTAACAACTTAAACTTTTGAGTCTTGCTGAAAATTAACTATCTCTTCATTTTTGGTGTCAATTGAGTGATCCTGTGGTATTTTATCCTTTTCTTTTTTCCTACATGAAGGTATAACATACCAGAGCTGGCTAAAACGCACAAGGTCTATGCCTTAGACTTGCTGGGATTTGGGTGGAGTGACAAAGCAATTATTGAGTATGATGCCATGGTGTGGAGGGACCAAGTTGTCGATTTTATGAAGGAAATAGTGAAACAGCCTGCAGTTTTAGTTGGAAACAGGTATCAAATCTGGAGTTACTGGTGTGTATTTGTGATGTTTTTTCAGGTTCAGTCTCATGGTATGGAATTTGGCGATCGTTGTTTTTGAATTCTAAAGTAACATGAATCTCAAGTATAAGTTTTTAATAGAATAAACTAATTGGATGGTTTAAACGTTTCTGTTTAGACTTGCTTTATAAAATGCTGTGTACTCTACATCATTATCATCACATTTTGATTATTGTGTAACTATTTAGCATTTTAGTCCTTGGAAATATAATTCACGTTCATACATCTTTTAAGATTTGAAAGAGTAGGGGGCTGTTTAAAATTTGAGAGATGTTATGAAAATAGCTTTCTACTTATATTTTTCGAACTATTTTTAGCCTGATTCAGTATATGTCTTAACTTGGCATGTCTCTATCTAATGAACAAGTCTCGTCTCGAGTCTTAACCTGTTTTGTAATACTGTTGTTTCCTTTCTTCATATTTCTGTACATAATGATCCATGGTTAAAATTAGCTCCTTTCTTCATTATGGTTTGTTTTTTGATATTTTAATCTATTGTTATGATTGCAAAACAAAAGGTGAAAATTTGCCCATGTCCATTGTTAACAAGTATGGGTAGAGAAGAATGATGGTTTTAATTATGGATGTCATATTTGAAGTGACTCTGATTTGTGGTTCTTTCGTAGCCTCGGAGGATTTACTGCTTTGGTTTCAGCAGTGGGGTTGCCTGAGCAAGTTTGCGGAGTTGTATTACTGAACTCCGCTGGGCAGTTTGGAGATGTGAATAAGTTGGCAGATCAACCAGAAGAAACCAGCTTCCAGAAGCTCATTCTGAAGCCACTGAAAGATTTTTTCCAGCGGATATTTCTTGGAGTTCTTTTCTGGCAAACTAAACAACCGGCTAGAATTATTTCTGTTTTGAAGAGTGTAAGTGACTGGCTAAGCTCTTTGTTTAAACTATTGGAGATCATATTCATGTAAAGGCAAAAACTAATATTATCCTAGAAATCATGAATGATTCCCTTCTTTGGTTCATCTTTGTTGCCCTTACACAGGTATACATAAATTCTGAAAATGTGGATGACTATCTGGTAGAGTCTATATCAAGGCCAGCAGCCGATCCGAATGCCAGAGAAGTTTACTACAGGTACCTTTTCTCRTCTCACTATCTCCATCATCATTTTTCGCCATAACATTAGTATATATTTTTTTTAATGGAATGGCCTGCTGAACTCTGGACTCGGAACTCCCTGCTATAGTTTTTTGTCCATGAAAATTGTTAAGAATATATATAAAAGATTAGAAACACCCTAATATATCCACTTAAAGCTTCTGGGTCTAATAGTAGTTTAATACAAAAGAGGCAACATGCTTGCTTCTGTCGACAATTGCCGAAAACGTGAAATTGGTCGACATTGGTGTGTGTTATGAATCATGTCATTTCTTTGTGTGGTGCAGATTGATGACAAGATTCATGTTCAATCAAAGCAAATATACTTTAAACAGTGTACTGGATGAGCTGCGTTCCCCACTGTTGTTGCTGTGGGGTGAATTAGATCCATGGGTCGGTCCTGCTAAGGCCAACAGAATCAGAGAACTGTATCCCAATACAACTCTTGTCAATTTGAAAGCAGGGCATTGCCCACATGATGAAGTTCCAGAGCTTGTCAATTCTGCTTTGATGGATTGGCTATCAACCCTACAACTACCTCATCCCTCTCTTCCAACACTCTGACATTCTTCTCAAATTTTATTGTACTCACACTTCACTTTTGTAACTGAACTGCACATTTTCAGATTTTTTATACTTAAATGCTTTATATGAAACTAGAGAGTAAGTTAGTTCTGCATGAAGAATGAATGCATGTTGTTGTTGATATGAGAATTTGAAGGTTTGTCTAACCGTATAGAAATCTTGGATACAACGAAATCAAGTTTTTATTTAAAATTTTAGAAAATAAGAAACAAGAAATGACTGGCAAATATGTTTTTTTAGTTATTAAATACAATTTTTTTTAATTAAAAATAGAAAATGAGAAACAATAAACAAAAACGTTATCAAATCGATCTCCCAAAGGGAATGGAAAATTGGACAAAATGATATACAAGCCGGGAGAGATGAGATGATAGTGTTGATGACAATGAGAGACTAAATGCTTTTAGAGATGTAAATGACAATGAGAGACTAAATGCTTTTAGAGATGTAATTAAAAATTGTTCGGAACTTGGAAATTGACATTTTCGTACGCATGGTATAAATAATTTTTTTTATTGTATTGAATAAAAAATACATGTTATAATTTTATTTTATTTTTTGTTTTTTTAAGAGGCAATATATTAATATTTGATACTTTAAAATTATACTTTTTATCTTCGTATATTAAAAAAATCAATTAATATGTAATTGCTATTAATAATGATTTTTTAGGAAACCGTGATAAATTTTTGTAATAAATTTAACACAGATTTTATATAACAAAAATGATTTTTAAAGTAATAAGATAGTGTAAATTACTAAAGTGTACTGAATATTTGAAAAGAAACTTCATTATTTTAGAGAAAATATTTATTAAACGAGGGAATGTTCCCTCTTTTTAGTTTTTTTTCCTCTTAAATATACTGTAGATGTAAATTATAGATTTAAAAACTGGATGGAGGTATTAGTGAATTTATAATTTATCAAGAAAGAATATTTCTCCAACATTCTACAAATTTGCAATTAGAACATGTGGTGGCTGATTCTAGAAATCAAGTCATTAAATAAAATTTGATGGTCCCAATTCCTTTCAATTTTAAAGTAAAGAAAAGAAAAAGATAAAGAAATAACCGGTAGTGTTGGGCCGAACCGATTTTTGTTCGCGGTTCGGTTTAAAGAGTAGGCAAAAGACACTCTCCGAGTCGCTGGCTTATTCATCCCCTTCGGTTGCATCCACTGATCGGAAACTATCTCCGAGAGCAGAGTAAACGACCATGGGAGCCTCTGAATCGTCACTCTCAAGCTCTCAGTTAGCGGTATTGCTTAGTTTTTCCATTAACTCTTTGCATTTATCACTTCTCTTCTCTCTATCCTTTCTTAATATGTTTGTGTTACCCCTGAAGAGGCCAGCTGATGTAATCTCCACCGTGTCGGAGCGATCGGAAGCTGTTGATCCCGTCTTAGAGAGGCTCAAGTCTCTTCAAATTGTGAGTTCAATTTTGATATTTCTTCAAATTCCCTTTCCGTAGGAGAGCTAGGGATTTTTTACGCCTCATTCTTTGGAGTTACGCGAACTTGGATCTGAATTTGGAATTTTATTTGGTTTATTTCGTATTATAGACAACGCCAATATTGCAATCACCCCCTACGGAAGGTAGCCTTACAGATATCTTAGTGAGGAAACCGCCCTCTTCTACAACTGCTGGTAGGATTCTTAGGATTGAACTTATTGTTTGTTTAGTTTGCATTTTGGTCTAAAAAGTGGAATTTCTTTTCTCGTTTCATTATAATGAGTTGTTAAAATTTTCAAACTACACTTTGTACCTATCTGAGCAGTAGAGAATCAAAAAAATGGCTCAGTGAGGTACGGGAGAAACTCAGTTGAATTTAACAAGCATGATCACTTCAATTATTGTGATAATCAGTCTCTCACTACCACCTAGAACACTTGCTTGGCAAAAGAGTAGTGAATAATGGTTGTTTCTGAACAACTAAGAATCGTAAGCACACAGTGGTTATTAGGTCTTAAGCATCTCAGTCTGTAAATCACATTAAGTGCAGGTAGCTATCGAGGGTTGTAGTAGATGTTATAATAACAACTCAAGAATTTCTGTTCAGCCTGCCAGTCTTCTATTGCTCCATATACTGATCGCTGTGTACACTTTGGGGATGGATTGATAATTCGGTCTCTAGGTAGCTGTAGACAAATGTATGAACTAAGAGCATTTAGCATATATTGGTTCATTTTCTATATTGGAGTTGGTAAGTTGACTTTAAAAAGAATTTAGTGCATCACTTCCTTCTCTAATTTTTAACTGTTTGTACGATATGATGCAGCCTTCATCCAAGTTGTAAAATTCTTCATTATGTAGAATATCATATTCAAGTATGAGCCTGCAATCATTTGATAATTTTTTAATTTATGTGAATGAGGGTACCATTTTGCTAATGTAGGCTTCTTTCCAGTTTTACGACTTCCGGTGTAGTTTGGGTGTAGTGTTTGTCTTGTGACCTTTTCTGTGTCACGTTATGCCATTGCAATATTTTTGCAAAGGATGAGGCTCGACTGTTCTTTTATTATTCAATGTGGTAGGTACTGTGGATCCCCAAATTCTTCTGGAGCTCTTCTCAATGTACCGTAGTTGGCAGGATGAAAAGGTCCAAAAGATCAACAAAAATCAGGTTTGGTTTTTTCAAAAATATTTTGTTTTTTGTATGGTGAATGAAAATGCTTCTGAGTTATAGCATCGTTTCTTTGATTCCTGTATTGTTTCATTTAACAATTAATTGCTTTCAAACTCATCATATCACTACATTCAGGTTTTGCTGGTTCATGAAGTTGCAAAATTATATCTTATTCCAACTGTTTTTGTTTGATTCCTCATAATTACTTCTTGTCTAATATAGATAGACCAAAATCCAGAACTACTGCTGAAGCGTGTACAGAAGATGCCATTGTTGCTATTTTTTACATCTTTTTCCCTTTAGTCTTCATTTAGAGCTCGCTTAAACAAGTCAAATACGCTGTCCTGTCCTGATAGAGTTTGGTACTGTTGCTATTATTTGCCTTTTCTTCCTTTAGACTTCATTTAGAGCTCCCTTAAAATGGACAATGTTTGGTATGCCCAATACCCTTCAATATACCATTCTTATGATAATTGTACGCTTCAATTCTGAAAATTAGTGTGAAGTTCATCGATCTTTCAGTATCTTTGTCATCTTTACCTCTTCAAGGGATTCTCTTTTACCTTTGTAGAGAGGGAAAAAGGAAGTGGGTTTTGAAGTTGCTATTTTATTGTACTTTTCTCTCTCAAAATACCTCATCCTCTCCAGTGTAAGACAATGCCCTATCCTCTTCAGGAGAATTTGGGGGGGTTAGACTCTTATGAAGGTCATTTTTAGTTGGTTATTCAAGGGCAAGTCATTTCTGACTTTATTCAGGGAGGTTTGGACTTCAACATTGGTAGTGGGTTCTTTATAATCTTGGGCTTAGCATCATATATATTTTTTTTTAGAAATAGGCATATGAACCTAATGATCTCTAATAAGAGGTTGAGATGCCTCATTTTTTGTCTTTTGTTTTAGAATATATCACAAAGTCGGGTAGGTTTTTCTTGGTAGAGTTCCTTTTTTTGGGAGGAAGGATGAGTTTATGTAAAATGGTTGTATTGGCTTCAATTTGGAGTATTTGGTTGGACTACAACAGGAAATCTTTGAGACGTGGAGCATTAGACAGCTCAACATGTCTCCTTAGTGTCCATTCTATCTCAATTTTCGAAGTTCCAATTTTTTTAATGGTAAATAGTTGGGGGCCCTACATGTCAGTGGGACGGTTGCAGGTACTGTTATTTTTCTTTATGATGTTCTTGCATGGCTTTTTGTCAGTCGCACCTTGTACTTTCATTTTCACGGTCGTTGATAGTTTTGGTTTACCATTTACAAATAAAAAGGAAAAAAGTAGTATAAATCTAAAAGCTCGCTGCGAATCATCTCTGTTATATCTAAAATACCATAATTTCCAATTACAACTATTGTTGTTGAAATTTTAGTTTTTTCGCTGATCAGAAAACCGGATCGTTCTTGACAAGCATTTATCACCCTTGGCATGTTTTTGCAGCCTAAATTGGTCTTCCAATAGAAGAATAGGAAGGATTGTTGTGCATGGATTTAATTTGCTGGTGGTTGTTATATTGTAGGAAGATATCGAAAACAAGATTGAAGTCACCGATGCTTTGGCTGTTAAACTTCTTCAACGCTTGAATTTTTCTGTTTCAGCAGTGAAGACAGCTTCCCAACATCTTTCAGAAGGTACCGATACACCATTACCGTGTTTTTCCCAGTAGATCCGTTCATAAACGCTGATGTCTTACAAAGTAGATGAACTATTATCTGCCTTTGAATATGTGTGTAATGTAGTTCACGCACTGGAAGTGGAAATTGGCGAGCTTAAGGGAAGATTGACAGAGGTTATCAGCAACTGCGATGCATTATGCAGAAGAATTGCTTCAGAGGGTCCAGAGTCTCTCCGGTCATCTATCAAGCCGTTAGTAGTCGCCACCAGGTCCTCCTGTAACTCGTCTTCTCCGCAAGTAGATTCAAATACAAATCCACATCCCCAAGAACCCAAATTAGATTGATTCATTATTCAAAATCATTTTGCAATTCAATAAGACGAAGTATTCCATATGAAAGGATGATATATATGCCACTTGAAACATTGGATATCAGTCCGATCTTGCCCATATATATGTATATTGACTTTATTTTTCAGCATTCATACATTGTGGAAAACATAAGAAGGGCAGCTTGTCAAAAAAATTGCTAGTTTGCAGCAAAATTGAGCTGTTAAAAAAATTGTCCTACAGCAGAGCAGTGTCACCCCCCTGTAAGAGTGGGCTCCCCCTAGTCTCACCACCCGCCGACCGGCCGCCCAGGCAGAGGCCACAGCCATATTAAGAACCTTCCTCAGGCCATTTCATCCACCGACGTAGCCTTCTCCTTTGCCCTTTAGAATCCACCATGTGACCCATTTTCAGTAGAATCACATTCATTGTGTCGGTGCTTCAGTAGAATCTCTACTTGGCCTGAATTTCCAAGTTTTTAAATGTCTGGTTAGAAACAAGGGTCAGAAACTCCATTTTTTAAAACATGAAATCAGGATCCAAGAGGAGCACCCAGAAGAAAACGTAGCAGTGAAGTATGTTTATTAATAATATTTTTGTTGTTAACACATGTTGAGTTGAGAACAGATGCAAAAACTGATGGAAAGAACTTTGTATAAGCTTAGATAACACAGAAGAGAACAAATAATTAACTCTGCAAATCAAACTATATTCTCTATTCAAGAAGGATTGGCATTTGAAGCACATTACGGTAGGGAAAAATTGCAGCATACAGTTGAAGGGGGTCGGCTCTATCTGATCTGATCAAGGTTGCTGCTGAGCATCCATAAAGCCGGCGTCGACCAGAACCTTCTCCCGCTTGGCCATTTCAACGTCTTCATCCACCATCATCTTCACCAGCTTCTCAAATCCAACCTTTGGTTTCCATCCCAGCACCTTCTTCGCTCTGCTTGCGTCGCCCTTCAGATTATCGACCTCCGCCGGCCGGAAGTATCTCTTGTC